TCTCCTGATGCTTATGTTTGTATCCATCTTTTTTATTTCCTTCTCAAAAGAAGCCAACCTCCTCACATATTCTTTATTCCCTCCCACCCTCCTGCTACATGTGCTCTGAGTTCCTGGCACCACCTTGCTGCACAACCACAGGAAGGCTATTCACAAGGAGATCTCTGTGGGTGGCCCCTCATGAAGTAAGACTTCAGACTGCAAGTCTCGAGTTTGTGACCAGCAGCTCTGTGGACTTCCTCCCCTCTCACCTTAACAAGAGCTCCATCTCTTCATCATCAATCTCTCTCTCTTAGATTATTATCATCAGCATACAAACACACTCACAATTAACCTTTGGAGAACATGGGATTAGGTACTTCCCTTCATAGTCAGAAATCCAGAATAACTTTTTTTTTTTAAATATATTTTTTTATTGATTTCAGAGAGGAAAGGAGAGGGTGTAGAAATATCAATGATGAGAATATTGATCAGCTGCTCCTGCATGCCCCCTACTGGGAATCGAGCCCAAAACCCAGGTAAGTGCTCTTGACCTGAATCAAACCTGGGACCCTTCAGTCTGCAGGTTGATGCTCTATCCACTGAGTCAAACCAGCTAGGGCCAGGATAACTTTTGACTCTACAGTTGGCTTTTCATATCTACAGATTTACCCTACTGTGATGGAAAACAGTATTTTGGATCCACGGGTGGAATCTGTGTTTGGGAATACAAAAATACTGTTTTCTTTCTGAGGTGAGCTGAATGCTGTGCAAAATCCCCAGATACAGAGACAACTTAGACTCAGATTTCGGTTGAAAGAAATCTGAGTATAAGTTGTCCCAGGCAATTCAAACCCATGCTGGCCTAGAGTCAACTGTACTATCCTCTGTACTTGCCTTAAAGACAAACAAAAAAAACCAATAAACAATAACAATCAATCACTCTTGACCCAATATTTCTCTCTTTTAATTTTACAGCAGCAGTCAATATTTACCATCTTGAAATGTGTCATCTCTGTTTCCTTATGTTCCTAATTCTCTAGCCACTATTTCCTCTTTCACTAGACACTTTTTCCCTACCCACCCCTAAATATGAAATTTCTTTTAGGCCTTGATGTGAGGCTCCTTTTCTTTCTATATTCTCTTCTTAAAATTACCTCATCTGTTCTTGTGATTAAAATACTCCCAAACTTATATTTTCACCCCAGGTCTTGCCTCTGAGTCCTATTATTATACTCAATTTTCTCCTTGATAACTCCCTTGGAATGTTTTACAAGCCTGTTAGACTTGCCAACTAAAACACTAGTTTCCTTGTTCCTTCCCATCTTTCTTATCTCACGACTTGGCATTAGCCTCCCACAGTTGCTTACACCAGAAACCAGAAAATTATCTTCAATACCTTCCTTTCTCTTATCACTGCATTTAATTCATCATCAAGTCCTGCCTATCATACATCCAAAATACATATCAAATAAGTTCACCTAGTCTACTGACCACCCTAGTCAAAGTCTCCAAAGCATCTCTCACTGGATGCTTCCGTGACTAGCTGCTGTTCCTACTTCTTTTGGGCCACCCTCCAATCTATTCATATAACATCCAGGCTATTACAAAATGAAAGTTTGATCACATTGCTCTCTTGCTTAAAACATTTTAGTGACTTCCATTGTGTTTCAACCCTAGCTTGAAAGGTTCTAGATGGTCTGGCCCTTAACCTACTTCTCCAACTTCACCACAAACACTGCTCAAGCTGCTCTTTGGTCTGTTATACAGATCAGAGTTGTCTACCTTCCAGCCTCTGGTAGGTAGACAACAGCCTCTTCTGCTTAGAAGCCTTCCCTACCTCAACCAAGCTGCCCCCATCTTATCCTTCAGCTCTCTTCTAAAATTCTTCTTGTCAAAGTTACCATTGACCTCTACATTGCTAATAGTGATGCTGACACATGTAATACCTCTTCTTTCTGTTCATGCAGCAAATTTCCACTTTCCACATTTTTAAAAAATATATTTTATTGATTTTGTACAGAGGGAAGGGAGAGATAGAGAGTTAGAAACATCGATGAGAGTCATCGATCAGCTGCCTCTTGCACACCCCCTACTGGGGATATGCCTGCAACCAAGGTACATGCCCTTGACCGGAATCGAACCCGGGACCCTTCAGTCCCCAAGCTGACGCTCTACCCATTGAGCCAAACCGGTCCCGGCTCCACTTTCCACATTTCTACAATACATCTTCATATCCCCAGAGCCTAGCATAGTGATCCATGGGTGGAATCTGTGTTCGGGAATACAAAACACAGATTGTAGTACTATATGTATTATAGTAGGTGTTGAGAATAAATCCCTGAAAATGAATGAAGGTGCTAGTTGAGACTCTTGGGAATGCTTGCTTCACACAACCTCCCAACAGTGTGGTGGACAGAAACTAGAAGGAACATCAAGAAACAGGGTTCAAAGTTTGGCAGTGGCAATAAACTACCTGTTGTCAAAATTCTTCTGACCTTAGTTTTCTTGTATGCCCTAAGACTGAATTTTGTATTGCTGAGATTAATTTCTTATTTTTCTACCCCCAAATTCCTTCTTATGGGTTGCAAATTCATTAAATGAGATTTAAGTTTTAAAAACTTTTAATTATGAAAAAATTCTGACCTAAGGAGAGTATAAACATCCATGTACCCATCACCGACTTAAGCAATTGCCTACTCATAGCTAATCTTGTTTTATTCCTAGCCCCACCTACGTCCCCTTCCCGTTATTTTCAAGCAAATCCTGGATATGGTATCATTGTATCTGTAAATACTTCAGTATGTATGAGATGTAATTATTAACCGCTAGACAGAACACCTTCTGTTCCTCAATGGCTTACCAAGAGAAGTTTTCACTGAACAGCACATTGCTCTTTCCATAAACAAGATAACTAGCACAATGATTTTTGTTTCCTGGCTTAACTAAAATGTGTAAATTCTCTGAGGGGCGTAGGTGGGAGAGAGTGGGCTTTAGAGCACCTCTCAGTGCCCTGCAATCAACAAAGGGAGAATGAATAAAAACTCAAAGTACTTTTAGGTTTTTATTTTTTTTTATTTATTTATTTATTTATTTATTTATTTATTTATTTTAAATATATATTTTATTGATTTTGTTCGAGAGGGAGAGAGATAGAGAGTTAGAAACATTGATGAGAGAGAGTCATCGATCAGCTGCCTCTTGCACACCCCCTACTGGGGATCTGCCCGCAACCAAGGTACATGCCCTTGACCAGAATCGAACCCGGGACCCCAAGCCGAGGCTCTATCCATTGAGCCAAACCGGTCCCAGCTACTTTTAGGTTTTTAATACAATCTTATTCTGGGAATCTAGGGCCTTGTGTTGTCCCTTTTCTTCTGGTCCCTTCCTGAATTCATAATAGGAAAATTTCAAGTTCAAAGCGATTTTTAATGTAATTATTTCAGTCTGAGAAGTCTATTACAAGCAGGACTAACTGGGGGTGGTGCCTCTGGGGACGGGGCTGCACCAAGGCCCCGCCCCGAGGGCTCTTGGCCCCGCCCCGCGGGCTCTAAGCCCCGCCCCTCGGACTCTCGGCCCCGCCTCTCGGGCTCTGGGCTCCGCCCCTGTGGGCTCTAAGCCCCGCCCCTCGGACTCTCGACCCCGCCCCTGCAGGCTCTGGGCCTTTCTTTTCCTCCTCCCCTTGCCTTCCCTCCTCTTCCCAGCAGCCCCAGCGCCTGCCCCGGCGGTCCTCAAGATGGCGGCCGACAGTGAGGTGAGGTGGTCGCTCCCTGCCTATTCCTGCCTGCACGTTCGCTTCTCTGCCTCAGCGCCTGGACGCTCAATCTCTTTTTTTTCCCTCCCCCCTCCCCTTCCCGCAGCCCGAGTCCGAGGTGTTTGAGCTCACGGACTTCACCACTGCCTCCGAGTGGGAAAGGTGAGTGAGTCGTAGCCTCGGTTAGCAACACCTTGGGCCTCGGCTGGCGCCCCCTCCGCCGCGTCCTCAGCCCCGACCGCCCGTGACGTCACTGCTTTGCGAAAAGCCGGACCGGGGCCCCCCCGTCCCCGCCTCCTCCGGCTCCGGTCAGCCGGACGCCACTTCCGCGTCTGGCGTCTGACCAGCGGGGCCCGCCCCCGACGGCCGAGCCCCGAGACTGGCTCCCAGACAAAGTTTTGTTTAGTCTCACCCCACTCTCCCCGCACCATTTCCGTGGCTCCCACTTCCGCACTGTTTTCCCTTGTGTTGAACTCCTTGACATAAGCAGGAAACTTCGCAGCTGCTGTTCTCCCCTTTGGGAGGAGGCCGCCGGCGCGCCGGCTGCTGGTGGTCCGCTCGCCCAGCTCTTCCACCCTGTCCTGTAGGGTAACCTTCCCGAGGTCTGCGTCTGACCGACCTCGGGACGCTTGGACTCCGAGGGTAATGTGCCCAGGCTGCCCGTGCCTGTCAACTCCATGGAACAGCTGGAACTGTTGTATCCCTGAAATCAGTTAAAGCCAAGTTTGTGGAGGAGTGAGCGCTTAGATTAAGAGGGTTAGTGTTTGGGATCAGAAACCCTTCAGTTGCCCGGGTTTTGAGTTTTAGTGAGCTTGCTGCAACATTTTATAGGCTTTCTGGTTGGGGGAGGTAACTTGTGGATGTTAGGTTGTTAGGTGACATAGGAAAACATAAAAAGTCTCAACTGGAAAAGCAGTTTGACCTATGGTATCTGCCAAAGGAGCAAAGTCGGTAAGACATAAAACATAACATACTAAGGCTTTATGGAGCAGGTACCTTGTGTCCAGAATTATGCTAATGGAAAAGAAGAAAAACAAAACCCTAGACCCATATTTTACCAGACAAACCAGCAAATAGTTAAATTGTAAGCCACTGGCACTAACTATAAAAACAGCAGTTTAAGTAAGTGTAAGTAAGGATGATATTGTTATGGGTTAGCATTGTTGGAGATATTTTCATAGGAAAGAAATAAGATGAGCTGGGCCTGGGAAGTAGGAAGTGTTTGGTTAGACATGAGAAGGTACTGACAGGAGTAGAGATGGTGAAAATGAACCTTTGGGACTTCACGAAGAATTGCTTTACTGGGGTGAAGGTAACCTTGGAACGAAGATTCCTAAAGAAGACAGGACCAGGTTATGGTCATCCTCCAAAGTTCAGTAGAGACCAGTGACTTTACTGTGGTTCAGAATGCTTGTCTCTGTTTATGTCTGTCTGAAGTGAACTCCGATATCTGCATTTATAACAAGTTCCCTCCCAGGGGGTGTTGCTGTTGCTGGTGGGTCTGCAGAGCACTCTGAGCATGAGCCATTAAAGAACAAGAGTGAACCGAAACCGGTTTGGCTCAGTGGATAAAGCATCAGTCTGCAGATTGAAGGGTCCCAGGTTCGATTCCGATCAAGGGCATGTACATTGGTTGCGGGCACATCCCCAGTGGGAGGTGTTCAGGAGGCAACTGGTCGATGTTTCTAGTTCTCTATCCCTCTCCCTTCCTCTCTGTAAAAAATCAATAAAATATATATTTTTAAAAGTAAATAAAGAACAAGAGTGAGAGACACTTGATTTTATAGTGGCAACGGTGATGTGAGAGTTGTTTCAGAAGATGAAGTAAAATTAAGGCTAGTGACTTACCTTTATCTATAGCTAGGTTGGTAATTTGGAGATTGGAGAGAAAGGACAGAGGAAAGGATTGTAAGACATTTCAAAAGAAGAAAGAATGGAGATAAAGTGGCAGAGCACAAAGAGTACAGTTTTAGACCTGTTGAATGTGAAATAATAACTTCTTGTCTTGAAGGCAGTTAGAAAAATATAACCTGGATCTTGGAGGATGACTGTGGGTGTGAGTGAGGAAACAGCAGAGTATTGAGTGGAAAAGGACCACTTTCTCCCACCTAAAGATTTAAAATATCTTGAAGTAGAATATTAAAATCCTTTAGTTCCTTATCTGTCTCCATATATAAAATCCTAATATGCAAATAGACCAAATGGCAGAACAACCAGTGCTATGACGTGTGCTGACCATGAGGGGGTGCATGCGGAACATGGCGGGTGACAGCAGCAGGTGGCAAAGTGTGGAACATGGTGGGTGTCGGCCGTAGTGGGATGGTGGAGTAGGTGAGGGAGGGCACCAGACCAAGTCAGGTACTGGTCACTGTCATCAGGGCGAGCCTCTGGTGGTTACTGAAAATTCTTTGCTCCTGCACACTGTGATCCCACCTGGCTCTTGCACCTTCTGCTGGTGCTGGAGCTGCAGCTCGAACCCACTGCCGGCACCCAGTGCCAGTCCTGATTGGTCAGTGCCATCAGCAGGTATGGACTGTAGCTGCCTCAAATACTCCTGAGGGCTTCTCCACCTCCCCTTGCTCCTGAGGGATGATCGAAGCAGCAGCAGCCACTGCCTGCTCACACCCATTGCTGGGGCCAGTCCCAATCACTCCACACTATCAGTGAAATAGTATTTTATGATTCATGGGAAGATGTTAGACTTTGGAGTCTCTTCAACTTTGAGTATAATGTTTAAATGAAAAGTTCTTGTCAGTATGGTATGACCCATACAATTTATTAAGTCAGCCCTCTTTTTATCATTTTTCTGTTGAAAAAATATTGAGTGCCTATGTTTTAGGTACAATCAAGGACGTTAGGGATGTGGTGGTCAATAAGAGCAGATGATACCTGCTCTTCCTGAATGTATAGTTTAGTGAAAGAGACAGATATGAATCCTATCTCATAAAAGTAATATGCAAATTGACCATCACTCCCAACACACAAGAAGGCCACCCTTATGTGGTCAAAGATGGCTGCCCCCATGTGGTCCCAAGATGGCCTCCACAAGATGGTCTGCAGGGGTGGGCAGTTAGGGGTGCCTGGGTTGGCAGAGGAAGGCAATTGGGGGTGACCAGAATGGCAAAGTAGAGCAATGGAGGAGACCAGGCCAGCAGGGGAGGGCTTTGAGGGGACCAGGCTTGCAGGGGAGAGCAGTTGGGGGGAGACCAGGCCAAGCAGGGGAGAGCATTTGGTGGAGACCAGGCTTGCAGGGGAGGACAATTGGGGGGGGGGGAGGGGTGGAAACGAGGCCAGTAGGGGAGGGCAGTTAGGGGGTACCGGGTTGGCAGAGGAGGACAGTTGGGGGAGACCAGGCCTGCAGGGGAAGACAGGGGTGACCAGGCTGGCATGGGAGGGTAGTTAGGGCTGACCAGGCCAGCAGGGGAGGGCAGTTAGGGGCAATCAGGTTGGCAGGGGAATAGTTAGGTATTGATCAGGCTGGCAGGCATAAGCGGTTAGAGGCAATGACGCAGCTAGGCAGGCGAGCAGTTGGGAGCCAGCAGTCCTGGATTGTGAGAGAGATGTCCGACTGCCCGATTTGGGATCGGGCATAAATGGGCAGTAGGTCATCCCTCAACAGGTCCCAAAGGGGAGAGAGTGCAGGCTGGGCTTAGGACACCCCACCTGTGTATGAAATCTTGTGCACCGGGCCTCTAGTGAAATTAATAATAGAAATGAGTCTAATTACAATTGAAATAAGAGCTGAGAAGGGGAATAAATCTGGTCTTGTAAGAGCATGTAGCCATTAGACCTAATATAGACTGAGGAAATGACCCTTTACCTGAGATCTGGAGATCTTTCAGGGTAAAGTTATTTAATTATTCTAGTCAAATATCAATACTTTTAGGATAGAGTCCGATAGTAGAATTAAAAAGAAAAAGCACCTGTAATCCTACCACCATGAGATAGCTACTATTACTATTTTGAGAAAATTCCTTCTAATCTATGTAAACTTGTATCAAACCATTTTAATATTTATTTATATAGTTTCCATTAACAAATGAACATTCATTTCCTCAAATGGACTTTAAAACATTACTAATGGGTACATATTATTTATTGAATGGATATACCATTAATTTACAACTGTTTGCTGCAGTTGAACATTAAGATAGGTTTCAGTTAACACAGATTTTCGTTCACATATGGATACCTTTTTATTATTACATTTTTATTCTTTTTTAGAACACATTAATTAATTTCTGTCACACTCATATTCAAAGCTGATAATTACCTTTTGACTGAATCCCTCTTCCCCAAAGTGAATTAGTATATATTAATGCCTTTAAGTTTTTTTCCTTATGGCATTATTATTACTGTTAACTATTTTATATTTTTTTCTACGAATTAGACAGAAAAGTATGCTTTATAGACTGGAAATACCTGGATCTAAGGAGACTTAATCAAGTATTTGGAAAAGACAATATGTGTGCCCAGTTAGTGTTAATGCCTTGAATTTTAAAGAGGAATTAATTAGAAGGTTCAGTTGAATCATAAGTGATTTATCATTACTGTCTTACAATAGAAATGTAAAAATTATTATGTAAATCCTTGAAGAATAAACCTGATGCCTTGTATTTTGCTAGAATTAACTAATACTCTAGTAATATTATGTAGGCATTTTAATAGAGCAATGTCGTTGTTATATTGCATCATACTTACATAAGAAGTCAGCTTCTTAGAGTAATAAGTCTTCACAAAGTGTCTTTTAATATGTACTTAACATTACTGCTGAGATTTGACAGTTTTCATTTGCTAATGTTGAGAATATTGCTAGTCAAATTCTTCTTTTTTAATAGGTTTGTTTGATCATTAGATTTAAAGATGTGGATAATTATAGAATCTATCAGTTATTCCTTAAAGCTGATAAATGTACTTGGATTTTCTTGCCAGCTGTTCCTTAAAATTTGTTTAATTTTAATGAACAATGTTCCCAAATAATGTTCTCTTTTTGGGAAGGGGAAAGGAATATCAGAGAATTCCTAACTCTTTAAAGGAAAAGTTACTAAATTAGTTATTTTGAAAATAGGGAAAATATTATGATTTCATAATTATCTTTAATACTATCATGTTAGTCTGTCAGTTTTTCTGTCTCCAATTTATTCATTTTATCTAGACATTTATTCTTAATTTATATTTCATAGCAGGCAGAATGCCTTTGTTGGATAAGCAGTATACTCAAAATGTAAGAATTCTTGAATTAAAGGAAATTATTTTCACTTTTATTTCACACTAATAAATTAGACTGTAACAATATTAAACTTATGAGACTTCTCTGATAAAAATGTTAAAATCTAAAAAAATGGCCTTAACTGGTTTGACTCAGTGGATAAAGCATCGGCCTGTAGACTGAAAGGTCCCAGGTTCGAATCCAGTCAAGGGCATGTACCTTGGTTGTGGGCGTATCCCCAGTGGGGGGTGTGCTGGAGGCAGCTGATCGATGTTTCTCATCGATGTTTCTAGTTCTCTATCCTTCTCTCCCTTCCTCTCTCTGAAGAATCAATAAAATATATTTTAAAAATATATAAAAATGCTTTTCTAAGAATTGTATAACAATAGTAAAATAAAAAAAAATGCAGTTACATATTTAGAAAGGTGGGTTTTTTTTGTTCCTTCCCAGGTTTATTTCCAGAGTTGAAGAAATTTTGAATGACTGGAAACTGATTGGAAACTCTCTGGGAAAGCCACTTGAAAAGGTCAGATCTATTTGCTGGTATCTCTAAATTAATATTTATTTTGAAACTTCTATTTTTAAACCCTTTGCTGCATTTGGTACATTTGAATTAAATGTTTTTTTTAAACTATGTATAATCTATAAACATATGGTAATTGGAAAAATTTGGATTTGAATATGTGGCAAATAATACATGTAAGGTTTTGTGAACTGTTTTATAAATAAAATTTTATATGTACAATGTCATTCTTTGTGAGTGATTTTGTTTTTCCTAATGTTTACTTCTTTCTCTCTCACTTTTTCCCATGGAATGTTAGAAAATCTTTTTCTTCTTTTTTTTAAGTTTTAGTTTGTTAGAGAAATACTGCAGTTACCAATTAGACTAACAGATAGAATATTGTGCTTAATTAATGAGGAAAAATTCTTGGTCTTAATAACCAACTGACTGTAATTTTACTCAATTTTTTGTATTTTACAAATACCACTAATAACACTTGTTTTCCCACCTCCTTTTTAAAAAAAACAACAACAAAAAAAACTATAGATGTTTTGAGGATAAGACTGAAAAAAATATTCAAAATTGAGGTGGAATTCCAATTCTAATTTTAAGATATTGGCGGTTTTACACAAACTATGCCCAAATGTTTCCTGAAAACTGTACTCTGAGAATAAACCTAGATTTTTCTGTATTTTGATAAAGGGAACTAACAGTTTAATTTAAGCTTATATAGATGTTTTGTTTGTTAGATTAATTATTTTGAAGTAAAATTGATCATTTTTACTATAAATCTATCATTAAACGATTTATCTCTCTATAAGGAACTCTCAGTTCTCGATATTTGCTAGGTTATTTTTCACCTTAATGGTGATCCTAACAGAATTTGAGACAATAAAAGCACTCAGATGTTTTTCTTTATGTGAATAAGAGCAGGAAAAGTAACACTACATATAGAAATCACATCATTTAAAGATATGCTGAAATGTATAGAGTAAATTGACTCACTAGATTTAAATACTTCTATGGTTACATTTTGAAATAAAGAAAATGTGAAGTTCTCGATCACAGATAATTGTATTCCTTGTAAAACAAATACATTCAACAATTTGGTAGACATATGCTCTTATTTCTCCTGAGTAAATATTTAGGAGTGGATTTATAGGGTCATAGGATAATGTATGCTTTCTGATACAGATTCCAGTAAGATTAAAGACAAAAACAAGCTAGGTATAACTGCAATGAAAAATTATTTGTACCATCAAAAAGAGAGCTAAACTGGGTATTTGTGTGCTCAGATATTCCTCAATTATATGATTTGTATGTGCTGTGTGTCACATCAGAAGAAATGGTGAACAAGATTCATGTTGCCCCTGAACATAAATTCACATGAGAGAGAAGGAATAAGTAAACAAGACTCAAATTTTAGATACAAAATTCAGTTTGGAGATATAACTTGGGTAATGTATTCGAAGTAGGTAGCATACTGACATACATATAGTAGAGACTAAAGGAGTGTAACTCTCCAACTCTTTCCTTTCTATAGATTATAGTAAGTAAAATGAGATATGGAAAACATGAAGAGATTTCAAGGTGAGCTGTATAATAAAAATAAAGAA